TGTACAGGTGTTGTTGCAAGCCTAGGTTATGTTTCGGGGGATAGCGGCTTTTATGTACTTTTCTCCTATGGGTACTTGTCGCTACCCCTAGAGACCACCGTGATTCTAATGTTTCGTTCGTATTCGAAGGTGGGAAAGGAAACAACGTGTAACTATTGTAAAGACCTCTTATATACATTATATTTGATAATAACTATTTATATTTATCTGTTTCAAAAGGCAGGCGTTTTGATAGTTATCATTAGCCCTTTAGTTGACTTCGAGCTTCAAATGTGGGAAGGAACATCAAAGTAACAGGAAGACGAAGGGTAGGGAATAGAAGAGTGATTCACAGATGTTGCAAAGATTGAAAAACAAACAAAAAGGCAGAGAAAAGGTAAAATGAGTGCTGTGAAAGTGGTAAAATATGACTTACGGTGATGGTGGATGGTAGTTTGAAGTCAGAAGTCAACTGCCAGTTAATAGACTTTTGCCGTGTGAGTATACTTTGCCCAGGGTGCACCACGTGGAGGTAAGTCTATCGCACACCCCTACTTGGAAATAGTGCTGGTGGCAAACTTAAGTATTGAATTGATTAGCTCTCTCGTTAGGCACTAATATGTGATCGATGCAAGATATTAGCTCAGATAAATCGTAATCGACACAAAAATGAACTGGGCTGTCCACTTTCATTTTCTTAAAATTTGATATTTGATATGACCTCCCTGCGAGACATGTGCAATATTCAATGCTGCGCCATTTCATTCTACAAACCAATTCTAATTTACTGATATGAATTACCACTTTCAGTTAGTCAAAACATCAACACATTAAATTTTTTGAGGATTGTGATAATGCGCCAAATAACTACAATATGCTGCTCCTCCAATGCTGTGTTCTCCATTAGAATGGCTGAATTTTAGGTCAATGTTCAAGTGGGATGTGCTTCGTTCTCTTCCTGCTTGTCAATAGATATGAGCACCTTTTTCGCTGGAGAGATTTACCCACTGTTTGATTGTCAATTCTCTAAGCTACCCCCCCCCCTCCCTCTCTCTCTCGGTTACCCACTAATTCTTTCCTGTTTAATTGAAGGTGGTTTCGAGTGACACTCAAGCCAATTATAAAGCCGTTTTCGTCATCTGGGGATCACAGTGTCAATAAAGATACGTTTTACGAACGACAGTGGGGGGGGGGGGGAGAGAGGATACAAGCGCTTTGTTTATTGAATATTCATTCGATATCCTTCACTTCGGATCACTGTGACTGATACTTAAGCTAATCGCCAATAAGATTTAGATACATTTGCTTTCAATTGACTACCTGTAACTAGGGCTGTTACATTTAACGGTAGAGTCTTTATAAAATTCACTCTTAATGTTATAAATAGTACGAATTCCCCTCCCCCCTATTCAGTATATGAAAGATGACGTGTCCTTTTTCCATAATTTAGACCACTTCAGTTGCTAGATGAGGTATTGCAAGCCATGCCTTTAAATGACCTGAAACCGACCCGCCACTTTTTCTACTATCAAAATCAATTGCAGCAGCCCCCAATCCCGCAATCATCCCAACCCACTGGCCCCAACCAACCAGCATCGCAGCACATGGCAAAACGCTAATTCCCCCCCCCCCTCCTTCGCTTTCTGCTTACAAAGAATTGAAGAAAGCCTCCCCCTCCTGCTCCTGCCCATTGTCCAATTCCCCCTTTGCTTGTATGCTCCTCTCTTTCTCCTCCTCCCCCCCCCCCCCCGCCTTCATCTTTTGTCTCTATCTCACACACACTCCGGAGTAAAACTTAAGTTTGCGCCTTGATTTTAACACAACCATTTATACATACATTAAGTGCATATATATATATTTAAGTTTGTCATAAACTTCTTCCCTCATTCATCAAGTTTTCACCTTCATGTTTGAATATTACTGTCCACCCCCTCCCCCTCCCCTCCCCACCTCCCTACCAACTTTCTTTCTCTCTTCAGTAACCTAGGGGTTATGCGCGTTCTTACTGTATTGATATTGTATTTCTGTGCAACGGAATCAGAAATTCTTTTAATTGTTCTTGTAAAAATGATGATGTCGATTATGCTAACGGTATGGTGGTAGCACATTGAAGGGAATATTGTCTACCCTTTTTGAACTTGAAATGTTCGCGCTCCGCCACACGTTTCTGCACCCATTTAAACAAAACCAAGACGATGAATTTGTATCCAAAGGGGAAAAAATTGGCTGATTAGAGTGAAACTTTGTTTGGAATATTGATATACATGCATATACATATATATATTTAACGAATTTGTGGAATAAAGATTTTGAACAACGGTGTTTGGTTTTTGTGTATTTGTTTTATTATAACGATATTGATTAAGGATCTGCAGAGAATTACCAAGAGGGTTGACTGTTGACATGTCATAATATAGGCATGAACAAGTTAAAATATATCCTCATAAATGCTCTCGGAACCGTTTTTTCCGGAATAATTCGTGTTGCGAAACATCTTACTACGATTCCTCAATTCTTCGGATTCGTTCAGGGGGAGGTTTGTGATATCAACATTAGATTCATATTTATCGATCGAGATTTATTGAAAGTACTACAACGTGGAACCCGTGAGCAGAATAGCCAACCACGTAGGGTGGGATAAAGAATGGTAGGAGGAAAGCAACTCATTTGGGGCCCTCTTTGGAGTAATTCTCTACCCATGATTAGCGCTGAAAATGCACTTCCAAGTGGGCACGAAGCCATCACCATAAAGGGGGAGATAGAAATTGGCCTTAAGTATAATATCCTACTTACAAATTTCAGTAGTACTTCTGAGAGAAGAAGAGAAATTGGTAAAATGTGCATGTCGTTTCCTTTAGCCGTGATTTGTGCATAGTGAAGCCTCAATATATAGTTTCGATGATGGCGGCTTTGTTGGAAAATTATTTTCTCACAGCATAGGTTTTAAAAAATGTCAACTTTGGAAATTACAAATTTGGTGGAGTTCTGGTGATATTCTGTCAAACGCCAATCTCTTACCCACTTCGAATTTCAATTACACGCACTGAAAATCGAAAATATGCAAGGCTGTAGATGATTCCTTACTGGTATTATGATAATCCTGAAATCATAATGGTCTTTTGGTACTCAAAGCAAGTGAAGAATTGCGGCATATTTTGAATTATATCAGATACCTATGCACATTTCTTTGTGGTATCAGAATTTCCTATTAAAAAGTGCTAGATATGATTTACAAGTACTTTAGACTTTTAAAAGTTGACTGAAAAGTAAAATAGCGTCGTTGTCAAAGCCTTTTAAATGAATTTGGTGATATATATTATAATTGAAGCACTGGCCAATGACAAGTATATGAGAAAGCGCTTGTACAAATGATGACGCAAAAATTTACATTGTCTAAAGGAGGCAGGAAATGCCTGAGCAATCTAGTATTGACTTAAATCACTGCAATTGTTTTTTTGTAAAGTCGCGTTGTGACAGTTATTTTGGCTCTTAACATGCCTAGTTCTAAACGCGAAGCGTCTCTTTCTTAAATCACTATTTTTTAAATTTAAACCCATTTGTTCAACTTGCATAAGCTCAACATTAGCTGTAAGAAATTTTAATTCGAACTAAATTCGTTATTTAACCAATTAAAAAATTTTAAGATATTTTAGCACCTTTTACAATTGTTCTATTTTTAATATTATAATATTTTAGGAGTACTGTATTTCCATATTTAAATCAAATACGAACTGTATATACACTATCTTCAAAAACGACCTTTTCACATCTATTCCACAGTTATGACCTCAAGTACTCTCTGTAAATGCAAAAAATATTGTTGTGTTATAAGAATAAATAACAAGGGTTTCCTTTGGTTCATTCAGGAATTATTGAAATGAATCTATTTGTAGGCATTGACAGGAAGTTGGAAGTAGTCTACAACAAGTGAACTTTCGAAAGCTCATGCATGTAGACAATCGCAGAACACCCTCAAATTTCCTTTGTCAGTAGATTAACCATAAAGATTGGGCATTTGAAATGGAGGGCATCAATTTTTTGGCTACAAAAGTCACATTTTACCCTAAACCTATCTCATGGAAGAATGCTTTCAGTTCGAGAGGAAACTAAAAGCGAAATTGCGAGAAACTAGGTCTTAAATTTATTTAAAACAGTTAAATACATTTTTATTCGAGTGCCTTTACTTTTCCTTGCGAATTAAAAGTTTTAAAAATCACCAAAAGTACAGAAATTTTATGAAATAAAAGATTTTGCTTCGAATTAAATAAATAAATAAATAAATATAAACCTAAATGTGCATCTTGAAATTATTTTGCCACACGTACAATTCCAATTGGAATTGCAAATTTCCCCTAGTTTTCTAATTTCCCACAAAGATTTTCATGGATTAAACTTTTAATGAAAAAATAAAGCGTTGAAACGATCAATATATAAAGGCGACGTATTACAGCACTATTCACGTTAATCATGAATGGTACAGTAATCGCGCTACTTGTATTCGGCTTGCTCTTAATCTCCCAATTTCAAGAATCACGCGGAGAAATCGCTGAATACGTACCCGACGATGAAATCGAGACAATGGAAGTTGCCAAACGAGGATTGTTCGGTTCCGTGAGACGGTTCAAAGCCAAGAATAAACTCAAAAAAATTCAAAAACAACAGAAAAAATTAAAAAAAGAGGAAGAAAAGTATCAAAGGAAGCTGAATGCTTTGTAGAACTGACGTTAACGAATTCCCTCTTGCACCTTCCATTGTTAGCCTACGTAACAGTAAATGTCTTATGTTTTTAATGCCATTTATCAGCGATTTAATAAATTCAATTGCATGGTATCACACTTTTACTAATGTTCTAATAAATACTGACAAAGTGAAAATTGATTGATTTAGTTTTTTTATTATTATTTTGGTCCTTTAATCTTATACTAATTAGCATATGTAGTTTTATCTAGGCGGGCTGCAAGTAGAATTTTAATTTTGAAATAGTTAAAGCTTAATTTTAGGGTCATAGAATGATAGCAACGTTTCTTCTCCCATATTTTTTCGCATTTTAGAAGTTATTTTGTTTTAAGTGAAAACGAATCGTAGGAATTTCCGCCACATTGCGCCAAGTAATGTGAAATGACAATACAGAACCCTAAACGGATATTTTTCCCTAGTTGAGTGAGAGACTTAATGAGTTAGAGTTCATTTTTTTTTCAAAAATATTTAATGGTAGAAAATGCAACAAAAAACCCGAAGTTGTTCAAATCACTAGATATCTACTGTTTATGGGAGAACTAAAGATGACCTTCCTGGCACGAATATTCTGGAACGTGAGGATGTGGTGCTGGTCGCAATTTGAAGCAAATGAGATCACGGGTGCAGAGACTTCTCAGACAATCAGAAAATCAATAATCACGATATGGTCAGTGCAGTTAACATTACTTATACCAAATGGCAGGCGTTTTGATAGTTATCAAGAACCCTTTGGTTGAAATCAGGCTTCACAGAGGGGAAGGAGCATCAAAGTAGCAGAAAGTCGAGGGGTGGGGAACAGAAGAGCGATTCACAGATGTAAAAGAGGCAGATAGACACAAAGGTAGAGAAAAAGGTAAGATGAGTACTGTGGAAGAGGTCGAATATGACAAGCAGTCGGGCCATGGTAGTTTCAAGTCAGATGTCAAATGCCGATTAGTAGACTTTTTGCCGTATGAGTTTACGTTGCCCAGGTTGCACCACGTGGAGGTAAGTCTATCGTATTCTTAAGAATAATTGTTTAGAAAACCAGCAAGGGTTGAAAGTTGCCCAGGGTGCACCACGTGGAGGTAAGTCTATCGCACGCTGTCCAGGGTGCACCACGTGGAGGTAAGTCTATCGCACACACCCCTCCGCTTCCAAATAAGATGTTGATAGTGAAGGCATATTTCCAGGGTGCACCACGTGGAGGTAAGTCTATCGCACACCCACTTGGCTCTCCCCTCAAATTTCAACCCTACACGGATGGGCTCGATTAGAATATAAATCGGCAAAAACCACGGATGGTCCTGCAAATGAATAGAAAACAACGATTACTAATTATTATCTCTAATATTTCGGAACTAATCTGTGTGTCAATAGTGGAGTCTTGGCGTTTATTTACATTTGGTTAATACTGATTTCAGTAGGCCTTGTTTTGGTTCACTTTTGAAGTGTACTGCTTGAATTCTGAACAGAGAAAAGTCCATTCTCATCTCACCTGATTGATTCAGAACTTTAGCTCACCTCAGGCATCTTTTCATCACACAACTACTGCAGAAGTTTAGGAAATTAAAACAGCGTTACATTGGTAATCTCGAAACCTTATTAATCTTACCGTCATTATAATTCGAATTCCTTCTCACATTTGTGGATAATTTACTTTCCCAGAGAATGCGTTTCTGGAAAGTGTAAGTTGTCCTTGTCTTTTGCTTCCTTTTGACTTTTATTCCAACTTGATGAATCCCATTTCTTCTGTTTTTCTTCCAGTAATCATAATCTATTCTTGACTTGGCAGAGTCGTCTTCTCCAATGTTGGCTGAATTGTCATATTAAATCTAATTAGCATGCAGCAGACACATCTGATTACAACACAAGCTGATGGAATCGGTGACAAAGTTGATCAATTAAGAGATTAATGCTCTTACCATTTTGTGATGTTGAGAACAAGCCGTAATTGGTTGTACAAATCACTTCACATTAGCATGCTTACTAACTCGTGGGAGAATTAGATAGTTCAATTTCGGCGTAAATAAGGAAACCCTTTGAGAGGATTTGGGTGATTGCAGATATGCTGTTTTCTTAAAGTTGAAGCATGATTTGTCAATATTTTGCACTTAAGTGAAGTTTTTTTCAGCTGGGAAAATGAAATAAGATTGCTTGAATGGATAAATTGCTGTTTTAATGTGTGTCAAATAGTTTGTGTTTTCAATTTACTTATTCTATAGTAATACTGGTATCGCCGGTATAAAAATCTAGCAAGCATTCATAAGGTTTGAAAATACAAAACTACTAGTGCAGTGATTATCCTATGGACAAATTGAAGTTAGACAGGCCAACTCGGCCAAACATTACTTACGTCCCGCAATAAATCTTTATATATGCATACACACACATACATACATATATGCGTTTACATATATCTATCTTTGCAAGTCAGGGGTGTGAGATAGACTTACCTCCACGTGGTGCACCCTGGGCAACGCATACTCATTCGACAAAAAAGTCTCTTAACCGGCAGTTGACTTCTGACTTCAAACTACCATTACCCCTTTCACTTTTATGTTCCTCCTCCCCTCTGTGAAGCCCGAAGTCAACTAAAGGGCTAATGATAACCATCAAAACGCCTGCCAATTGATGTAAATAAATCTTTGCAAGTCAAGGCTGTAGATATCAAGGACAGATAGGAGGCATCTTAGCGCCATGACCTGGAATTTGAAAGATCATCCAAATCTTTCTCCCTTGGTGCAATACACAAATAAATGCGACCTTAGTTACCCAATAAATAGAA